GTGAGTGGATTGCCTGAGCCCGCGGGTTCGAGACCCGCCTGGGCAGCGAGACCTCATCTCTACAATAAGTCAAAAAATCAGCCGGGCGTGGTAGCACATGCCTGTAATTCCAGCTACTCGGAAGGCTGAGGCGGAAGGATCGCTGGAGCCCAGCAGGTGAGGCTGTGGTGGCCAGGAGCGGCCACTGCACTCCAGTCTGGGCGACCGAGTGAGATTCCAACTCAAAATAAATAAATAAATAAATAAAACAGAAGGCTGGGATCCAAGCAGATGGGGGACCAGACCAGAGTGGCTGTATCAGGGGAAGAAGCACCACCACTTAGAAGGTGGTGAGGACCCTTGCCTGGCTTATCCTTGACTATGGGTAGAGTGGATATAACTGAAAATCGCTCCTTGGACAATTTTTATCAACAGATCTGTATCACAGGTTTGGGACTGAAATTCATATTATGGATGTGATGACCCCCCCAAAAAACATTCACACCCAAAATAGTTATGAATTGGTAGTGCCACAGAGACAAATACAAATTCCCTCCAAGAAACATACTTAAACACAGCTTTCAACGAATCCTTAGGTAAGTATGTATCTAAGGAACATGGGTTCACAATTTAAATACACAAAGTCACCATGAATGAGAGTTAAAAAAACACAAACTGAAGAATCAAAGACTGTAAATATGGTGAAAACCAATCACAGACAAAAAAAGAGCAAGTATCATGTTTTAAGAAATTCAGAGGTTATTGAAAGTCTCATGAAAGAACAACAGACCATTGCAAATGACCAAGCAAATCTGAAAAAGCAGCAACCAGAATTTTTAGAAATGAATAAAGTAACATAATTGAATGTACATAAACAATGAATGACACCACATACTACAAAGTTGAAAACAACAATTAATTGGATGGAAGGCAGAGGTGAAAATGTGTCTAGAACACAGCACAAGGTATTTGAGAAGTGGGAAATGTGAAAGAGATGAAGGGCTCCTGGAAGAGATAACAGAATGTAGGGAGATGCAGTAACCGAAGTCACCTGCACTTCCTGAATTGAAGATTTCTCAGGGGAGAAGGGAAGGGGGAAGGGAAAAGGAAAGCATGCTTAAATACATGGTCATCTCACAGCAGAAAAAGATACAGTGATCTTGAGAGCAGCTAGGCAAGAAAGATTACCTAAAAAAGAACAACAATTAGAATGATAGCTGAATTCTCAAAAAGCTAAAGACGGTAGAAAAATATCTTTAAAATATACCTGCTGAGAGGACAGAAAAGACACTTAAGAAAACGAAAACCAGGATAGAGTATTACCATAGACCAGCAACAAAAGAATTTTCAAAGAATAAATTTAAGAAAGAAGGAATAAAATCCGAGAAGGAAGGCCTAAGATACAAGAAGGAATGTGAGTAAACCTAAATGCATATAGACTATATGCAACTATAATGATAGTGTATAATTTGTCAGAGTTTTTAAAAAATAAGATTCCAAGACAAGAGGTGAATTCAAAAAATAATAAGGTAGGACAAAACCAAGGGGCAAAATAGTATGTAAATCAAGAGAACTTTGTAATGATGAAACTACTCTGAATATTTTACTCTAGAGTTGAGTAAAGCTATTGGCTAATTTTGAACTTCATTAAGTTAAATCTACATGTTAAGTTTTCTGGAATAATTACTATGGGAATAATTGGAGTACATAACTTCCAGAATAGCAGAAGGAAGCTGGGCTTGGTGGCTCAGCCTGTAATCCTGCGCTTTGGGAGGCTGAGGTGAGTGGATTGCCTGAGCCTGCGGGTTCGAGACCCGCCTGGGCAACTTGGCAAGACCTCATCTCTACAATAAATCAAAAAATTAGCTGGGCATATAGCGCACGCCTGTAGTTCCAGCTACTTGGAAGGCTGAGGCAAAAGGATCACCGGAACCCAGCAAGTCGAGGCTGCGGTGGCCGGGAGCAGCCACTGCACTTGTCTGGGCGACAGAGTGAGACTCCAAATCAAAAAAAAAAAAAATAGCAGAAGGAAAAATAAAATGAAAAACCAAACTCGATACAAAAGAAGGCAAAGGAGGACAAAATGGAAATTACACCAACTATGGTTGTAGAAAAGAATATAGACAATCACAATGAATTCTTTTTTTAAAGATCGTTTACACTGGTTTAAAAACAAGATCCAGACTGGTTGGGGTGGCTCATGCCAGTAATCCCAGCACTTTGGGAGACTGAGGCAGGAGGATCACTTGAATCCAGGAGTTTGAGACCAACCTAGGCAACACAGCAAGACCTTGTCTCTAAAAAAAAAAAAAAAATCAAAATATTAGCCAGATGTGGTGAGGCATGCCTGTAAATTTAGCTACTAGAGAGGTTGAGGCAGAAGGATTACCTGAGCCCAGGAGGTTGAGGCTATGGAAAGCCATGATTGTGCCACTGCACTCCAGTCTAGGTGACAGAGTAAGACCCGCCCCCCCAAAAAACATCCAGTTATATGTTACAGAGAATGATCAAAACATAAGGACGCAAAGTAATCTAAATATTTAATATAAGGCCTTGCTGAACTTATATTTAAATTAAAATATTTAAGAAAAACTTATCTCTACATGAAAAGTTTTTAAATCAAATTTGCCATTCCTGCACTGATACTAATAGGAGAGACAAATGAAAATTTGTAAATATCCAGATAATGTTTCAAATTCTCAGGCTTGGGGGAAAGAAGCACAGTGCAAAAGGCATTTAGATCAGTCAAGATACTGGAGCAGGTTATGTCTTTGCTTTGATTGGAGAATTAAGCACAGGCAATTTTGTTTGTACAGAAGAAAGTAAATTAGTCTACTCCTGAGTGGCTATAACTGATTCCTAAATTTACTTTCCCCTCCCTCTATTTGCTCACTCTTGGGACATTTCCATGGTTAATACCTAGCCCTGAGAAATCCGAATTTTCAAAGAGATTAGATAATAGAAGGCAAATCACCTCTAGGGTTAAAAAGAAAACAAAACATTAGCTGGACACGGTGGCTCATGTCTATAATCCTGGCACTTAGGGAGGCAGAGGAGAGAGGATTGCCTGAGCTCATGGGTTTGAGACCAGCCTGGGTAACTTGGCGAGACCTCATCTCTATAGTAAATCAAAAAAATTAGCTGGGCATGATGGTGCACACCTGTGATTCCAGCTACTTGTAAGGCTGAGGTGGAAGGATTGCCTGAGCCCAGCAGGTTGAGGCTGCAGTGGCTGTGAACATGCCACTGCCCTCCAGCCTGGGCAACAGAGTAAGACTCCAACTAAAAAACAAAACAAAACAAAAAGGTACCTGGAAAAGGAGAAAATGAGAGGTTCTGTGCTATCAGCAGGCCTGGGAGTGGACAGGGGAGTGGGAAGCAGGTCAAGAGATGAATATCCCCAAAGGACAATGTTTAGGTTAGATGAAGTCACAGCAACACAAGAAAAGACATCAACATTCCATAAGATTATTCTCTAACTTATGTAAAAGTCCCCTATTATTTAAGTCTGTTCACTGTGACCACAGTTTTTCAATTTTAAAAAACGAAAGTGGTTTGGAGACAGTGGCTCATGCCTATAATCCCAGCACTTTGGGAGACCGAGACATGAGGATCGTTCGAGCCCAGGAGTTCAAGAACAGCTTGGACAACATAGTGAAACCTCATTTCTACAAAAAAAATTTTTTTTAAAAATAAGCCAAGCGTGGTGTCCCATGTCTGTAGTCCCAGCTCTGAGATGGAAGGATTGCCAGAGCCCAGGTGATTGTGATCATGCCACTGCACTCTAGCCTGGATGATACTGTGAGACACTTAACTCAAAAAAAAAAAAAAAAAGAAAGAAATTTTCAGGTGAGATTTGTCTCACCTTTGTCCCACTGTCTCCTAGAACACAGTGTCGGGCACACAGAGTAGGTACTCAAAGTTTCTTTTCAATAAATCAAGAGATGGATACACTATTCGTCATCCAAATAATATGATTGAGACACTGACTGCTCTTACTGGCAAATTTTCTCAAAGAAAATTTCAATTAAATTTTGTGGCCCTGTGCTTCTTTGACAGCACACTCGAGGTAAGTAGGCTGGAAACTCAGGTCTGATTTTCTAGATGTGTTTATAGCTACATATTCGTCTCTGGAATTTTGCTGTTTATATCTAAAACAGCATTTTCTAATATGTGCCAGTATAACACAAGTTTTCCAATATTTCAATAAGGTTTTAAATTTTTTTAAAAAGTTTTCTTGGCCAGGTGTGATGGCCCACACCTGTA